GGCCCTCCACAATCACCACGTACTGGATTGGCACTTACCGATTTACAACAAGTAATGATGAAAAATTTTAGATTTTTTTAATTTAAAAGGACCTCATTATAAGAGACTCCATTATAAGACACCCACAGGTGCTGGAAAGATCGTATCTTATCACGAGGGGTAGCTTAAATAGAGGGTATCTTATAACGAGATGTATTTTAAATAGGGAGTATTTTATAATGAAGTGTTCATTAAATAGAAGGTATCTTATAATGGGGATATCTTAAATACGGAATATCTTATAATAAAATGTTTATTAAATAGAGTTTATCACTAACGGCTCTCGAACCTAATGGCCAATCACATTTAAAAACCCGTTGCTTATATTGAAGTGTATCTTGTATTGGATGTATTTTATAGTGAGATCCGTCTGTATATAATATCCACGAATTTAAGACGATTTTTAAATTTAAGTGAGGGAGATTTCCAAGCAATACCCTCTATTTAATATACACCTCGATATAAGGTACCCTCTATTTAATATACACCTTGATATAAGGTACAATTCTTAAATCCAAGGGGGAATCTTATAAAGAGGTCAAATTTACAGAAAAATTCAAATTTTTAAAATCAAATAAAAATTTTTTTCAAGTCAACGTCTGGTTCATCAATAGATTCAAACACTCTAAACAGTAACAATGGAGGCAATAATAATAATTCAAATGGTTCCTGTTCAATTAGTGGAGGACTTATTTCTGGGTTAACTATTGCTAGTAATGGGTCTGGAAATTGGTAAATATTTGAAATTAAAAAAATAATTCCTCATCTATCCTCTCGAAAAAATGCTTAGGCAAAAAAAGCCATCTCATATAGGGGAGTCGGTCGGAAATATCGAAGGTACCGGAAAACGGAAATGACAAAATATCGGAAGTGACAATCTAATAGAGGGATATCGAAAGATTAAAAATAACCAAGAAGGGATTAACATAGATTGGAGTTGATTAATAGATCAACAGTCGCCAAAAGTACCCCCTTCAATCTTTCCGAGTCTAGAACGGAAATATTAACTATTGCTAGTTAATTACTGGATTTTGGCCACCAGTTCCGGTCCAGCCCCAATATCGAATCCGGAAAAAAACTCCGGGTTTGACTATCATACTAGAAATATAGATGAACCAAGGATGTTACAGACCTTTTTCGGAAGGCGGAAGAGTCAAAAAATGACGTAACTCTGTAGAAACAGAAACGGAAGAATATAAGTTTTTACTCAAAATTAAAAAAAATAATTTTCCTTAAATTCTCCTAATAATTAAATAAAGGTCAACTCGCGGTGTAGGAGGTATAGGTGCTGGTTTATCTTGTTCTTCTGCCTCCTCTTCACCTTTTAATGTTGGTGGTGGTTTATTTGGTGGAGATGTTGGTTTACAAATTGGTGGTGGCTTTGGGCAAATTAAGGTATAAATTTGAAGAAATATTAGGTAACACAGTCAAAACTTACTCATAAACACCCTCTATTTAAGACCCTCTATTTAAGACACGCCTCTTTATAAGGGACTTGCTCCAATGGGGTATCTTTAAATGAGATCAACTTTAAACCATCCAGCTAGTAAAGCCACTAGAGGCCATTGGCTGCTTAAGCGCATACCCTCTATTTAAGATATGTTTCATTATAAGAGACGAGGTTGTTATAAGAGCTTGGTAAGAGTGTATCTTTAAGTGTAGTCCGACTGTAGACCATTCTGATAGTAGAGCACTGGACAGGGGAAGTCGCCTAAACATAACTCTATTAAATACACACTCATTTATAAGGGACTTGCTCCAAGGGATCCAAGGCGGTCCAAAAGTGTATCTACTATCTATTCAACTGTAGGTCGTTCATATAGTAAGGCACTGGATTGGGGAAGTCGTTTAAGCGATAACCTCTGTTTAATAAACACCTCATTATAAGGGACCATTTTTCATGTGAGGGCTGACTCAGCCCCTATAAATGAGGGCTGACAGTAGATCATTCAGATAGTAGACCATTTATTTAAAAAATATTTTTAAAGGGTGGTGGTTCTAGTGGAGGTGGTGGTCTTTTTAATAATTGTGGTTGTTCTTCATCTGATTATGGACTTTTCAAAAAATAAGAGAATAAGAAAATATTTTTTGGTGTTGTTTTGAAAAAATATATAAAATAAATGTAAGTTGGCAAATTAAAAATAATTTGACATTAATGCAAATAGAGGGGCTTTTTTGTGATTTTTGCGGATTTTTGAGGTGTTATGCGGACAAATTTTTCAAAATTAACTTGACGATACTTTTTCGGACTTTTTTCATATATGTGGAATTTTTTGCGGACTTTTAGAGGACATTTCTATGTAAATTTTTGCTATTTTTGAGAGCACTTTTTAAGGACCTTTTTGCGGATATCCTTTGCTGACTTTTTTTCTAACATATTTTTGCGGACATTTATTGCGCACTTTTTTGCTGACATAATTAAAGTATGAATTAAAGTATTTGCGGACTTCTTTTAAACACAAAATGTGCTATGTTGCATACAAAATCCGCAAAAATTTATGCGGACTTACAAACAATTTAAATTTTTAAAAATATTTTAGATATCTTGCAATTACAAAAATATTTCCCTATTTGTATTTTTATTTGATGCTTTTGTTGGCAAGTGAATATACAACAACGATGAGATATTATTGTTTTTTCAGTCTTTCAGAAAAAATATATTTTAATTATGTACCTAATATATTTAATCCCAGTTCTTTCTTTTTAATTATCTTATTAAATATTTGTTTATTTTATGAAGGAAAATGAACAATTAAATTTTTAATTAAATTAGAAATTTATTGAAAATTAAAGCTTTAAGTATTATTTGCTTAATTGGGAAAAGTACTAGAATAATACATTTTACAATCCATCCAGAAAGAATGCCTAAACAATTGAAAATTTATAGGCAGTAACTGTTTTAGAACTTAATTTTAAACAATATTATCAACTTTCTCCTTTATAAAATTAAATCATTATTTAAATAATCTGTTAGAATAAAAAATAAAGGGGAAAAATACTCATAAAATACAAATTTAAAAAAAAGATTATAAACACTCAATCAAAAGTTAATGTTACTTCACGATTACCTTCTGGTTAAATTACTCGTGCAGGACTTTGTTGTTCCTCTACAAGTAGTTTTGGTGTTCCAACTATTTTCTTTTTGTTGATATTCTTCTCGTTGATTACACCAGTTGAAGGATTCGAATTTCTCTCATTTGTACTTGGTTCTGGCTCTACATTTATTGTTGTTGCTGTTGTGATTGGCTTTATTTATTATTTCTTCTTCAACCATAAATACTATCCAAATGGTTTTTTTGCGGCATTTTCTAGAAAGGTTTTTTATTTTTCATAATTTAGAATTATATTCTGAGTAAAATCGGGATATATCACTTTTTCCCCTTCTCAAAATTTCCTTATGGTTAGGACTGATTAGTTTTTGCTATATTAGGAATTACAGATTCATTACGGACCTCTTGATTTCGAACTCTCGTTCTTTCAATTGTAAACCATCCTTTTTTATATAAATAGTATACACCTCCAGCTGCTGCAATTGTCAAAACAAAATAAAAAATTGTTGCAGTAATGAATCCAACATCAAAAGTATTAAATACAAAACCTTCAACTTCAGAGAAGCATGAAAAGAATATTAGAAGGAAGAGAATCAACGTGGCAGATCCAACGTTGCATTTTGGAAAAAACTGAAAAAGTATATTAAAAAGATTTTTTTAAGTTTTTTCCAAAATGCAACGTTGGATCTGCCACGTTGATTCTCTTCCTTCTAATATTCTTTTCATGCTTCTCTGAAGTTGAAGGTTTTGTATTTAATACTTTTGATGTTGGATTCATTACTGCAACAATTTTTTATTTTGTTTTGACAATTGCAGCAGCTGGAGGTGTATACTATTTATATAAAAAAGGATGGTTTACAATTGAAAGAACGAGAGTTCGAAATCAAGAGGTCCGTAATGAATCTGTAATTCCTAATATAGCAAAAACTAATCAGTCCTAACCATAAGGAAATTTTGAGAAGGGGAAAAAGTGATATATCCCGATTTTACTCAGAATATAATTCTAAATTATGAAAAATAAAAAACCTTTCTAGAAAATGCCGCAAAAAAACCATTTGGATAGTATTTATGGTTGAAGAAGAAATAATAAATAAAGCCAATCACAACAGCAACAACAATAAATGTAGAGCCAGAACCAAGTACAAATGAGAGAAATTCGAATCCTTCAACTGGTGTAATCAACGAGAAGAATATCAACAAAAAGAAAATAGTTGGAACACCAAAACTACTTGTAGAGGAACAACAAAGTCCTGCACGAGTAATTTAACCAGAAGGTAATCGTGAAGTAACATTAACTTTTGATTGAGTGTTTATAATCTTTTTTTAAATTTGTATTTTATGAGTATTTTTCCCCTTTATTTTTTATTTTTTCCCCTTTATTTTTATTTTCAGAACTCCCTAAATTAAGGAGGGACTTTAATTTTATAAAAGAGAAAGTTTAAAATTAATTTCTGAAACAGTTTCTGCCTATAAACATTCAATTGTCCAGGCATTCTTACTGGATGGATAGTAAAATGTATTTTCCTAGTACTTTTGCAAATTAAAAAATGTAAAAATACAGAAACGTTACAATTTGTAATTGCTTGTTTTTCAGAATCACAAAAAATTTCCCCCACCAATTCGTATAAATACCATAATGAAAAGGCCAAGAAATACATTCGGCTCTAAATTTTGGTAAAGAATCCATACAAAAGAGACCAAAGTGTAAAACAGCAGTGTCCAAAGAAGGTAAATTTGTTTGATAAATTGAAACAATTTGCATTGGTTGATTGATAGGCAGAAGCTAAAAGATAAATATTAAATTAAAAAAACAGTCAATATTCTATCAGGTAAATTAGGACCAAAACTTTTAGTTTGGGTACTACGTGATTAAAAACGGGGGTATTGTGAATCAATTGACAATTGATTCAATTAAATAAGGCTGGAAAAAAATTTTAAAAATTTTTTAATAAAAAAAACCATTTTTTGAATTGAAGTATTCAAAGTTGTAAGTACTCGAGTCCAAACAAGTTCAGAAATAAAAGGGTTATCTGCAGCATATGAAATAAAAGAACATGCAGCATTATCGCTCAAAGCTGGGACAGTAAAAAGAGGCGATTTAGCAATAGATAAATTGCTTTTAGAGTTGAGAAAGGCATCAATATCTGACTGATACTTTAAAAAAAACGAAAGTTAAAAAATTTTTAATTTTTTAAAAATAACCTGCCAATAAAAATCTAAAAGACGTTCAACAAATGCTGGTCTAACATTACTATTTTTGCTGTCAGCACGAAGATTAGCAAAAAGTTGATCAATTGCACCCATAATTGTTTGCATACATTGACCTATAGCTTCATCTCTCTTTTCTTCGTTTAGAATATTGTCATCATTCGAAGAGTTACTTGGTGAAAGAGAACGAAGAAGTAAAAGACGACGAAAAGAATTTCTAAAAAATATTTTTGAATATATCAAAATATAATTCCAAAAAAACCTTATAAGTGTGTCTTGCAAGAATACAGAATCATTACAATCTGTAATTGCTTGCTTTTCAGAAACACAAAAACCGTATTGCAAATCAACAGAAAGAGCAATTGGTTGAATATTGATGTTATTCGCTAAATTCAACCGAGAAGCATTGAACATTTGAAGAGCAATAGGGTCAAATTGACAAATTTCAGATAAAAGATTTGAGGCAGATTCTGTGACTTTAACTAAATTTAGAAAAATTTAAACAAAAAAAAATTAAAAAAAACCATTTTGATAATGTAAAGCACAAGGAGCAAAATTAGCAGCTGTCATTGTTGTTGCTTCAGAAAGGGTTGTGTCAATTAAATTGTCAAAGAATTGATTCTGACCCTCATCAACAATTGGTGCTGTCTCATTTACCGGTCCAAAATCTCCACCCAAAAATAACCAGCTTAAAGTGCTAATGTTGATGCCATTATCCGCAGAAGAAACACCCAATTGAGTAAGAACTGAGAGAACCAATTGTTCAATAATGTTAGTCTAATAATAAAAGATTAATGAGTAAAACAAATTTTAAAAGAAAACCTGAAGACGTGGATATTTAACAGTCTCGCTGCACAAACACGACAAAATAATAAAAGCACTAAAAATATTTAAAGAATTACTGAAAAATTAATTAAGAATATATATATACCTATCCAAATTCTTTTGGCACATTTTTGAAGCAAAATGTTGATTGAGCACTTCAACAAAGAATTTCCCCCACCAATTCGTATAAACGCCATAATGAAAAAGCCAAGAAATACATTCGGCTCTAAGTCTTGGCAAAGAATCCATACAAAAAAGGCCAAAATGTAAAACAGCACCCGGAGCTGCAAACCAAAGTGAATTCTTTAAAAGAGAAAATATATATAAAAAATTTCAAGGTAATAATAAGACCTGTTGCTTGTCTTCAGTATAAATTTCATCAAATGAAGGCTTCGGTGAAGCATAAACAAGTTTTGGGTGTTGGGAAGTAAAAGATGTTGAACCTTTTGACGCTTTATGTTTGCTAAGACATCCCTTCATCAAATTCGATTGTTGTTGATCTAATTGTGTTGTAGCAGGCGGTTGAAGAACTCCAGAAACTGCCGAAAGGACTTTTACAGGAAAATCGAACATTGTCTAAAATTTAAAAAAAATAAAATACATAAAAATCTCAATCAAAACCTCGTCAAAAATAAATCCAGAAAGTCCATATTCTCTCGACAATTTGCTGTATAAACGACCAATAAGTGTCAACACTTCAATGCATTTTTGTTTAACTGCAGAATCTGCCAACTGAGGAAATTTGGCAGAAAGACGAGTGATAGCGTTTCTAAAAAGTTAAATTTTATACGGAAACATTTTTGCTAAGACAGTAGGCAATCCCTGTGGAATTTTTAACTATATCTATTTCTAAAATCGTTTCAGGTCGATAGAACATTTTAGGCAAGTAATTTCAAAGGAAATTAGGCAATAAACATAAGAGAAATGGCGAGAAGCCCTCAGCAAATCGCTTGGTCCTCCTAAGGTTTTTAGATATTCAAAAGTCAGTAACTCGGCCTCTGATTGTCGGCCGTGATTCCCCTGCAAGTTTTTCAAGTATCTTTCGAATGTTATAGCCTCGGAAACAAAAAACATATAACCCAGGTACCCTGAACTGGTAATAAAAACCCAATGTTACTACCAGAACTTAAAAACAATTAAAGTAAAGGAACAGCGGAAAGGCCACCCCAAAGTAGTACCCAAAAAACGGTTAACCGTGTAAGCTTTTGAAGCTCAGAAGAGTACACATTAGACTTCCATTCCTCTAAAATCCAAGTGTCCAAAGCTTTGTGTTGACTTCCAATCCTCTGTCCTTCAGTTACTGACTTTCCATCATCATCTTTAAGTCCATTTATAGCAACTCTGCGAAGTCCTTTACCCGCTCGGGTGTCGATTGTCAAGATTAAACGTTGAATATGTATCATCATTTTATCTCTAAACTTTATATTAAAGTCAAACAAACTGCCCTAAAATAGGAGAATGGGAAGAAAGGTACTGTAAAAGGAGAATAAAAGAAGCACAATGCCAAGGGATACCCGTTTTAAATTCCAAACTTAAGTAAAAACGACTTTATTAAAAAATGGTAAAATTGTGAAAAGCAAGTCCTTTTATAGTAAAAGACAAAGGGAAATATACGAGTAGGCCATTAGAGTGCCAAAATTAGAGTGTCTGAATGTATTGATAGACTATAACTCTTCTTATCCTTGATCCAATATAAATAAGACTTATATCATTCGAAAGCTCTCGATAAGTTGTATCTTTTTTCAACTAGATGGATCAAGTTTGATCAGTAAATAAAAAGTTATAACCCGATAAATGTAAAAATACACTAAGTAATTGCACTTATCGCGTTGTAACTTTTTAGTGAGTGAACAGACTTGATCCATCCAATTGAAAAAAAGATAGCGCTTATCGAGGGCTTTCGAATGATATAAAATTTATTCAAAATAGATCAATTTTACAAAAAGTTAAGGCCGATTAAAGCTGGCCGCACTCTAATTTTGGCACTCTAATGGCTAAAATAATTGTAATTAATAATGTGGAAACTTTTCGTTTTGTAAACTTTATTATGGGAATGTCATAGTGTCAACAAATAAGAGTACAAAAACTTCAATTTTTCAGTGCTGCAGGCGAAAAATAAATTTTTTTTCAAATTTTTTTAAATTTTTTGCTTCCGATCAACAAAAAAGTTACTTTTAGCGTTTTGGGGTGCCAAAAAGGGAAAACACGCCGAACGCATAACTTAAAAGGAGTAAAAACACGAGTACTTATTTTTCCCCTCCCAATAAGTCTCCCTTAATTTTGTACATAATTGACAGACTTCTCTCCTCTTCTTCATTCCAGTCCATTTTCCTTGTCCATTCTTGTTCACGTGTCAAGCTAGACCATTTGTACATTTTAAGAAAGGAAGATTTACTGGGTGGGCGGCCAAATAAGTACCAATACGCCATGTCATATCGGAACGTTTTGTTGATTGACACGTTTCTTTACTTTTTTTTATGTTTTTGAATTCATTTCGATTATTTTTAATTTTCAGATTTAAAAAAGATTAAATAAAAATGACTTCAACAATTACTGGTCTAGCAGAAAATGCAGCATTTAGAACTTTGGCTGATCAATCTAGAGAAGTAAATATGATGGAAGAATTCAAAATTGATCCGAAACGTGCAGAAAAGTTTACTTTAAAATTGTTGAATTCAAATGGAGGTCTTCAACTTTATTTTGATTTTTCAAAAAATATAATTGATGATTCGAAGTTTAAACAACTTATTGATATTGTGGGTATATTTTTTAATTATGTATAAGGGTCTGAGTTTTTTCCCGGTTCTAGAAAAGGATCGCGAACTTACGATTCTGCTTTTCGTTAAGTTTAGTTGTTCCACGGTTTAGTTGAAAACGGGAGCCTTTAAAAAAACGGGAGCTCCGTTTTTTGTTGAAAACGGGAGCCTTTATACTAGAGTTTGATCCCGGAGAAAGGACTTACCAGGGATCAGCGGAGGTCTCACCAAGTGCCATTATCCCTCATTTCAGTTCGCCTAGCCCTCGTGCAATGTACACGATTTTATCAAAGATAATCTTTAACGGAAAGACTTGTGGACTTTCGGGAACTAGAAAAAACGCGTTTCTATTTTACTTTATTTTTAAATCCAATTTTTAGGCTCGTCAAGCTAATGTAGAACAATGGCGTGACAAAATGTTTTCTGGTGAACATATTAACTTTACAGAAGGCCGTTCTGTTCTACACGTTGCATTGCGAAATAGAGAAAATAAACCGATTTTGGTTGATGGAAAAGATGTAAAAAGATTATTTTATTTTAAGAGTATTCGTGAAGATTTACACTTTTGCGGACTATTATTTGCGGATTATAGGAGAAATAGGAAGAAAAGTTCGCAAAAAATAATCCAACAACAGTTTTTGACCCGAAGAGTTAGTTCGGCCCCTCTATGATTTTTTCAAGTTTCGGGAGTAGTTAGTCCCCCGTCCCCGTCGTGGGGGCAGAGGGGTCCGCAAAATTAATCCCTAATTAATTCCTTGTAATTACAGCACTAATTAGGACCATCCTAAAGGTTTAGGGACTTCCGGTATCACCCCAAAGGGTCTTATCACAGATAACTGATATAGGAATAGGGTTCCGTGAAATTAACCCCCAATTAGACCCATGTAATTATTCGCTTATTAAAAACATGTAATTAGTACACTAATTAGGAATATCCGGTGCCGAACCCTTCAAACCAAAAGGTTTAGGATAAGTTTCCCCCACAAATTTTTTAAATTTATTTTTTCCCTTTTCCTTTTCAGAAATTTTCTATTGTATTTTTGTTCGCGCAGCGTGCGTTCATTTCTTTTGAATTTCTTAAAGATTTTATGGGTCAGCTTAAAACTTTTCCTTTTTCCTTTAATTTTTTAAAATTTTCTTTTGTTAAAAAATTTCTAGGTAATCTCTGACCTAGAAAAAATGTTCTCTTTTAATGGAAAATATTGACCTTAAAAAATAGGAAAAATGTTTAAAAAAATAGGGAAAAATAGGAATGGAAATTAAAATGGAAATAGTACTAAGTTAAAGAAAAAAAGGAATGTTAAAAAATTGAAAACCCTTTGTTTTACTTCCCGTCTAATAGTCCTGGAGTAGTATAAAAGGAGATAATAATTCCTAAATGTAATTAATTTAATATGAACTCCAAAAATTTCCCAAAAATTTTTCCTGAGGTTGAATTTAACGTCACCTCTAGCGGGATCACCATTTCCAGTCCCCGATTTAATACACCTCGTTTTATTCCCTATGACCAAGTTGGGAAGTGTCGTTCATGTAAAAGTACAGAGGTTGAACTAGATTTTATAATAGTCAAAGAAGGAGTGGTGATTTATTGCTCGCGATTTGAAGGAAGTCGTTTTGCTCCATTTGATACATTCTTCGATTTACCTGGACATTGTTTTTTCAAAGTAAAAAACAAAGGACGAGTCTTTAATGTACCCTACAATGCTACTACACAAACTGTGGTTCCCTGTCCTAAGGCCGAGCCTGCTACACCACAACCAACCCAAATCCCCAACACAATACCAGAGGAGACATCTCAACACACAGATTCACTTCCATCAAAAGAGGATATAGACGAATTCTTCCAAAGCTTAAATGCTTCGGTAACGGGAATACCAACGGATTGAAAAGATATTTAAATGATTTTTCTATGTATTTTTTGTATTCATTATGGATTTATTTTCTAATAAAGAATTAAAATTTAAACTTCCTTTTGGAATGATTTTAGCTGGTCCTAGTTCCAGCGGCAAAAGTACATTTCTTTTAAAATTCATTGCAGGCTCTAGTGGACTTATCGATCCCAGTCCAAAATCAATACTCTATTGTTTTGGTGAAATGAACAATATTGTACCCCTTTTACAAAAATCAGGAGTCGGTGTATTTGCAGGCGTCCCTTCAGAGGAGGTGATTAAAAAATATCCAAAGCCTCTACTACTGATTCTAGACGATTTACTCCTATCTATTAACGAAAAATATTTATCAGAATTATTTACCAAAAAATCCCATCACCAAAATTTCTCCATAATTTTTGTTACACAAAATTTATTTGACCCCAAAATTAAGTTTGCACGCCAAAACTCTCAATACATTATTATAATGAGATCCCCCAACTCTATGCTTTCTGTCAGAAATATAGGTGTACAATTATTTCCAAGACAGTTGGATTATTTCCTCGATGCTTATCGGCAAGCAACCAAACATCCATATGGATATTTGGTCATAGACATGCACGCTTCATCAGATCCAACTCTCCGTCTCAGAACAAACATATTTAAGGACGACGAAGAGAAACTTATCTTTATTCCAAAAAATGGTTAGCCAACTAGTTCATAAAAACATTGATTTTTTAAAATTATTATCCAAGACAAAATCTGAAAGAAAACGTAAAAGACTATTGAGACATTCAAATACAAATCAACTCTTAGCAATAGCAGAAATTCGCCTTAATATTGTAAAGTCCAGGTTCCATCTAACTACCCAACAAAAGAGACGTCTATTACCCTATTCAGAATTTGTTCGTTGTATGAGCAGAGTCAGAAGTGAAAGAGGAGCAAGACA